AGTTTATTTTTACATCAGTTTGTGCCTTTTTCCATCTCAGTTGCAATCCCCTTGGGTTTCCTATCACCAAATCACCCTGTGCCATCACCACAGTCCAGTGCATTTCCCTCCCCCCACTGTTTTTGATCCCATTTCCTACTCCACCCCCGTAAAATGTCTCTGGTATATAGTTGTTCATCATTATTATTATTTTCTCCCCTGATCCTTTGTGCTCCTGCTATGAGTGAAACCATCCACTATTTTTTCCTTCTCTTTCTGGCTTATTTCACTAAGCGTGGCCCCTTCTAGCTCCACCCTGTTGCTACAATATACTGCTCTATGTTTTAGAGCAGTTTTAGGTTCATAGCAAGGCTTAAAGTACAAGGTGTACAAAGATTTCACATATATAGCCTGTCCACACATACGTAGCCTTTTCTTATCAGCAGCAGCCCCTACCAGTGGTGCATTCATACAGTGGATGAATCTACATTTACACATTGTAACACCCAAAGTCCATAGTTATATCAGGGTTCACTCTGGATGATGTACCTTTTGTGGGTTTAGACAGATTCAAAATGACACATAGGTACTATCAGAGAATATTTTCACTGCCCCCCAAAAACACAAAATATTTTTTAAATATCTTAGTTGAGAATCTTTTAGTTTGAAGATTTCATGTAAAAGTCTGGATTTTGTATGAATTCTGAAATGGAAAACAAATATGGTACATGATTATGTTAACATAATGTATAAAATGTGATATTATAGATAACACACATATATGGATCATAAAGTATTATATAAATTCCGGGTTTGTCCGAAATAGCCAAGGCTCTGTTGGCTCTGGGTCCACGCTCACCCCGGCACACACTCTGTTGCCCCAGCCCAGGGCGTCTGCGCTTGCTCTGCACCCCCAGCTGCTCTACCTACCAGCTTCGCTGGCATCTGAGTGTGCGATCCCTTTGGAAACAATAACTGCCGTAGTCCCCAGGCACTGGTGGGACCATATCTTATTTAGGGGGTGGGGAACGCACCACGAGAGCTGGGAATTAAGTTTGCCTTGTAAAAACGGAGGCATTGATTTAGGTGGGAGGCAGAAGTTGGGGTTGAGGAGAAAACTCTGCAGTGTCAGGGGGACCTGCTCTGGAGAGCCTTCCCTGCTCCGCTGCCCTCCCAGCCAGCTCAGGTTTCCCTCTGTGTTGCCTAACACCCTGAGCCTGAGTCCCTCAGAGCACTTTCAGCCCTTGGATGGCCATCGTCATTGGCCCACCTGAATGCCCCTGCCTTGCCTGTGTCTGCTCTGCCTGTCACAGAGTAGGTGCACAATAGAGGTTTACTGAATGGGGAGGAAGGGCTGGTGCAGTTTGCCCTGTACAGACCGGGGGGCCAGCGTGTTAGTCTCCTCTTGTTGGTCTAGCACATAAGTCCATGCCTTGCTCTGCAGGAGCTGGTATTATTAGACTTCCTGAAAGTAACTTTGAATGAGCAAATGAGCACAAAGCATCATGGGAGATGCCCTTGCAAAAACAGTGGGGAGTTGGAAGTCTGGCTGTCCTTGTGCATTCTATGGCAGGAGGGATCCTTTGAAAGTTTTTTTTTAAATTTATTTGTGCATACAGAACTGGGGTACAGGCCAGAGGCACAGAGGCAGTGAAAGGATTCACAGAGACACAGTGGGGAACAGAATAGGCAGACTGACAGTTAGGTGCATCTACTCTGCTGAGGAGAGCAGCAGGCGGGTCAGGAGACATCTGCCTGCCATGTGGGTCACTCTGGGGTTGGGGATCGAGTTCATGCTAAAGTGGTGTTAGCTTCTTAATGCTGTGCTTTAACTTGCTGCGCCACCAGGGAGGGCCTCTTGAAAGTTTTTAATGGAAAATTTCAAATAAAAAGTAGAGTTGTACAAGAAATCCCCATTTCCACATCACGCTGCTTCAATTTGCTTATTAATAGCAAATTGATTGTTTCATTTATACCCTTGTTGTTACCTACCTCTTCATTTTTGATTAAATCTCAGACATCATACTCCTTTCATTTGTATTTCAATATGTATCTCTGAAAGTTAAGTGCTTAAAAAATAAAATCCAGGCCCTCCCTGGTGGCGCAGCGGGTTAAAGCGCTGCACTGAGAAGCTAAAGCCACTTCCGCATGAGTTCGATTCCCGCCTGCCCCGGAGGTGACCACATGGTGTGGCAGACCTCTTCTGACCCACCCACTGCTCCCCTCAGCAGTGTGCTTCGTCGATCTGCCTGTTCTGCTCCCCACTCTGTCTCTGGTGAAGCCTCTCACCACCCCTGAGCCTCTAGCCTGTACCCCGGTTCTGTATGTACAAATAAATAAATCTTTAAAAAAAAAAAATAAAAAAAAAATAAAATCCAAAATCATAATGTCATGTTTCACCTAAATAGTTCCAGAGACTCCTAAATCTCATGAAGGGTCCAGTCAGGTGTTTGGCAGCCTGGTGTTTGCAGAGATGAGCCCATGTTTCCGGAGGCCTGGATGGGCTGCGGGAGGTAGAGGCAGAATGGAAGGTGTTGATGACATGAGGAGGTAGGGATGCAGGGAGATGTGAAGAAGAGAGCAGGGTCACCGGGGGGCAGATGAGAGGAGGAGCAGATTGGGTAATTACCGAAGGCACCAGGGCTGCTTCAGAAAATGTCTTCACTGGGCCAAGGACAGACCACAGAACCCTGCCCAGCAGGCTCTTCCTGTAACACATCCTAAACCTTTCCCACTAGAAAAAAGAACAAGGAACATATGTTGCTAGGAGGAGTGTGAAAGTGGGGGTGGGGGGCTTTATTTGAATATGGCAGTGAGTCATTGTTGAGCGTGCTCCAAGGAGCCTCTTTCTGCTCAAATTGGGAAAGGAAAGACAGCTTGGGGTGGTAGTGTCCCCTGGTGTGGAGGCTGGGACGCTCAGCCAACCCCACAGCCAAGCACAAGCTGAGGTTGACTGCTCCTGTGGACACATTATATTTTCTCAGTGCTGGACATAGAGGCCAGAGATTTATATAATGTTTGCTCACACAGCATTTCTTATGTGTGCTTTCTTTTTCTTTGCCACATCAAGCAGATCTAATTTTATTTTTATTGTGAGGAACAACGTATAGCAACATAAGGAAGAATTATTAAAATGTCGCCTGTAGCCCTATCATCATCCCACGCTATGTTTATTCTCCCCAGTTCTCGCCCAGCCTGGGCCGGTAAGCATGTACCATCACTCAGGCCCTTGGGGGAAGGTAGAGGCTCCTGGAGTTTCAGCCTTGCACTGATAAACAGCGTGACTGGAAGCTGTGTGGATGGCAGGTGCCAGTCACAGGCTTCTCTGCTCTTGGGAGGGAGCCAGTTGCTGCTGCCTCTGGGGACACTTGGCTGGCATGTCCCTGCTGGGGGTAGGCTGTGTGCCCTCACGGGCCTTGTTCCCATGCGCGTGTGTGCAGTGTAGCTGGCCGTTTTGTGGCAGTTCCTTCTCCCTGAGTCATCAGACAAGGAGCCTCCAAGGGCAGGGACAGGGTCTTACTGGACTCTAAATCCTAGTCCGCAGACCAGCACTTAGAAGGCAGCTCAGTAAACAGGGATTGTCATGTGCATTGTACCACGTGACTGAAGGGTCACTGGGGAGTAGCTGAGGTTTCCTGCCACTGCTGTTCTAGTCACAGCAGTCACAGCGTGCTGCTGCAGCCTGCAGGAAATACGGGGATATGTCGGTGTATTTATAGATGAAGCTCAGAGGAGGCCACCCTGCACTGAGATAGAGACAGTGTGGTCTGAGTGGACAAGGGAAAGAGCCAAGCATTTATCCTGTTTTCCTGTATGAATTATACCTCAGGGTAAATCATCTCAGAGTATTTGGTGTGGGGATGCTTCTCTTTTTTTAATATTCCAGCTAATAGGTACAAAAGGAACCATATAATAAGGCTGTGTGTGGTTGCTAATGCACTAATGGATCTATCAGAGAGCATCAGTGGCAACTAACATCACCAGGGAAAGACCACCAGGCCTTCTGGGCCTCCAGGTAAAAGTACATAATGCACTTGGAAAGAATTCTTGCCCCCAAATTGAACCTTAATTAGCTTAAATCCTGAGACATAACTTCTAGTTCTCAGGAAGTGCCATGCACAGAGGAACATGATAAACAATGAGATATAATCAGCACATCTAGGCTGTATAAATTTACAGGACAAATGAGCTACTTTTTCAACAAATAAACTGTAAGAATAAGGAGAAGCAAAGAAGAGCTGATGGCTTAAAGGAGACTTACCAGACCTGATCTATTGGAACATGGGGACCTTAATTAAATCCTGTTTTATATGAATATAAAAGTTTTTGACATAATACTTGATATTAGAAAATACAATAATGCTTGATATTAGAAAGCAAATCTTTAATTAAAGAATCAAAAAATTGATTTTTTTTTTGTTTTCTTAGTGACACTGAAGAGTTTATGGGTGAAATAAAATATGTGAATTTTGATGTAATCAGAGAATAAAGGGTATAAACAAAACAAAATTTGCTCTAAGTATATAAATTTGGGGGCTAGGTATGTAGAGGTTCATTATATTATGCTCTTTATTTTTGTGTATGTTTAAGATTTACCCATAAAAAAGAAAGCGTAGCAGGTTACTATGGAAACAGTTTCTTTAATCTCTGGTATGTGATTACTTCACAACCTAGTAACTAAAATGGCAGAATTTTACACCAGCAAGCTATCACAGATAGGGTTCCCAGAGTCGCAGGTTGAGATGGAGTTTGACATAAAGGATGTTTAAGGAGAGTGGTTGGGCTCAACGCCTGTGGGGGGTGGGGGACTAAGCAGGTGGGCACAGGGGAAGGCCAGATGCAGTGCAGCCCAGTGGCAGGCTTGGGCAGCCTCACTCAGAGCCAGAGCAGGCTTCAGAGAGGAGTCAGCTTGGACCAGCGTGAGCTCCTTCAAGCCCTCCTGGTTGGTCATTCATTGTTTGCGGGCACCCAGAGGAGCAAGAACTTAAATAAGGCTGCCTGCAGTGGGTTCTGTCCCCAAGGGGGCTGGCAGCTGAGCCAACTGAACAACATACCTGGCTTCTGTGGCAAAATGGTCATGACAGAGGGGTCTGGGCTTAGCCTTGTAGCTGTAACAGTGATGAAGCATTTAAGACTATAATGTGAACCTTTTGAAACTTACCAGATAAAAATGCAGTGATACATTAGAACAATCTAATTTCAGGGAACATTTGATTTATAATCATTCACAGTTAATTTTAGTTAGGAAGATACACCTAAATATACATCTTTAGGGATATCAGAACTGAGATGGGATGAGATGTCATAAAACCACAATTGCCTTGTGTTATGGGATAACGCCTGCTAGATTTGTGTGATGGGAGGAGGGGTATAAGTATATATCTTTGAAAGATTAACTTATAAACTCATGTCCCGCAATTTAGCTTATGCCACACATTAATGCAGCCCTAATTAGCAGAATGTACTTTTGCTGTTCTATTTAATAAAACTGAGAAAACGCCTTCCCAGAGGATTAAAGAAATGTGTTCATAGGCGTCACTGAAACCTCATCACTTGCCTTTTCAAAGTAATATGTAGGCCCCAGGTGCTCCAAGATGCTTTTTAAATTGGGCTGTTTTATGAGGTACCATGGAGAAGTGGTAATCATTCAGGACTATGAATGAAGGGACGGATATTACATAGGGCCTGAAGGAGGAACAAAGCAGAAGTGTTGTGTGCTGAAAATGGCAGCCACAAAACTCGCTTCATTTCACCGTGGCTAACAAAACTCGCTTCATTTCACAAGGTCCTTTACCAGAAGGCTCTGAGCAAGCACATCTCATTCCAATGTGTTTTTCCTCATTCCAGGTGTCTCGGAGAACAGGCAGCTGTGCATGGGGGCAAGAGTTCCGCCCAGCCAGCCGAGAGCGGCAGCAGCGTTGCCATGGCTCCCTCCTATGTGGATAGCCCACGAAAGGTAACAGAGGCCACGCTGGCAGGGGGCTTCCAGGGGCTCTCAGAGACCTGCTGTGGAGGGCAAAATGGATAGTCATTAGAATTTAGGATTGAACATGCTGAGGACATAGATGAATTCTACTGAACCCTTTTTAAAATTACTGTTTTTATTAAGGAACTTGCCTGTTCACTGTTGTAAGGAAGCTAACTTCTCGGTAAAGGCAGACATAAATCTGTCAAGCTAAATTGTGTTGGTCAAGACCCAAGATCCTGCTTGGACTTTGAAATTGGCCATCTGGTTCTTCTTCAGCCACATCTTTGGCTTTCCCTGAGGGGTGTAGAAGCTACTGAAGCAGCTTTCCTGAGAGCTCACTTTCTTTGCTAGCAGAATTTCTATCAGTTTTCTTTACTCTCCTGAGAAATACAATCAAAAGGGAGGAGATCATTGCGTGGGGGGCAAGAGAGGAGGTTGGGAAGAACCCAAAGCTGAGGCTATAGGTTTCTTTATAGAATGTCAAATATAGTGATACCCTTTGCATGAAGTATCTCCAGATCTAAGAGATGGTAAAAGGCATATAGTCTAAACACCAAGAGGAAGGATTGTTGAGAGAAAACTCGATAGGTGAGGCTTTTTGTATCATTAGACTTGACAATGTCAGTGCCTTCTCTGGTCAAATTCAGAACCTGAGGTCATTGTGATGTGGTAGGGTGAGTTGACTGCATATTCTCTTATTTAATTTCAGTTCTCTCAGGGATGAGAGAAATTCAATTCATGTATTTTATTTTTCAAAATTGCAGTCAGATGTTTGTCCATCTACATATTTACTTTACTTCCATATCATGAAAATTTCCCCATGTTATTAAATGTTTTTCCAAAGCATAATCTTAAAAATCAACTAGTATATTTATTTCATCATAATGATAGGTCATCACTTATAACTTTTTTTTTGTTGAAAATGTAGGTGTTCTCTGATTTCCAGAAGTATTTTTTGGTAATTATTCCACAAGTTTTGATAATTTTTCTATAATGTATTACAGTTGTAAATAATTCTGTGAACTACATCCTTGTACATAACTGTTTGACCGTATCTCTGATTATTTCTTTAGGATCAATTCCTAGAAATAGACTACTAGGACAGAGGGATTAAAATCTGAGAAAAAATATTGACTGAGGCTACAAGCAGCGTGTAGGATCCGTAAACAGGCCAGCAAACCTAAGCAAGTACTTCAGGCTTTGTGGGCCTAGAGACAAGACCAGTGCTTTGTGCCAGTACTTCAATGGCCATTTAAATTTTAACAGCCGTTTTAGCTTACAGGAGTGATAACCAGGTAGCTGGATTTAGCTGTATTTCACTGACCCTCACTCTAGCATGTGATCTGAGGTAACAGTTTAAGGGTAGTCTGTATATAAAAATTATCTATTGGTCACAGAAGTCTTTTCATCTGTCTTCACTCATGGGTACATAAATCTCAGCAGCACGAGCTCTCCTATTTATTTATGTTCTGGCAGAGAAGGGACACAGATGTAACAATGAGCATGCACAATACCTAGTGTCCTGCCCACTAGCTGTTACCTCTACTCATTGCCGTCTTTGAGATTAGAAACTGCTGGTGCCAGGGCTGAAAAGTAGAAAAAGTACTGAGCACAAGCCTTAAGGTTAAAATGCACTAATGAAATATTAGACTGCTGTTTAGAACACTCTCCTCATCTCCCAGCTGAGCACTAAGATTCCCCTATATAGCCATCACCATGCCAGACGTAGATTCAAGTGGCAAGGAGAAGCATGGAAGTCCTGTGACATCCCTTTTATGGCCTGTGCCAGCCCTTTCAGAAATGCCCGAGTATTTCCAGTCATAAACTTGTGTTGTCAAGGGGTAATTGAATTTGTGTCTCCATAGCCATGTTTCCAGTTAGTGAATCGGATTCTTACCAGCTGAATCAATAAGGCAGCCATATTGATAAAGTGAACATCCAACTACTTTAGTGATTCTACTTTTAGTAATGAAGTTGTAGGAATATAGGACCCTCAAATTTAGCATGTACCATTCTGAATTTCAGTGATACTAAGTCATCAAAAATAATATTTTGAAGGAATAAGAGAATATTTCTTGACCTAAAGAAAGGAGAAATTGTTGTGAAAGTTCTCTATATTGTTTTTGTTTCAAAAACATGGCAACTTAAACCACTCAACAATAGGGTGGGTGGGGGGGGAGACATCTTCAAGAAGCCCCTCCAGTGAAATCAGATATACCCAACATTTATATGTCTTAGCTTGTGATTTTGTTACACAACCAGTGGAGGAGAAGGTATTGCTGCTTCTGCTATTTGCTTAGAAAATTAAGTAAGAACTTTTCCTGCATTGGATCTTCGTTTCCTATCTGGCTGCCATATTGAGTAACAGACAAAATGAAAACCTCAAGCCTCTGTGTATCTCTTTAAGAGGTTTGCTGGTCACCCAGCCAGGGGGATGGCCAGGATGCAACCACTGAAGCTACCCTCCGGCCCCCATACCTCCTGGCCTCCCACCAAATTGCTCTGGTGCCTTCCCCTCCCTTGGCATAGTCTGAAGGAAGTTCAGAGCTATGAGTAAGGGTGCAAGCATCCAAGCCAGGCTCTGATGAGACCTGAGGGAGCTTGGACACACCTTCTAACCCAGGTGCTTTCTCCCACACAGATGGGATGCTCTGTCCAAGGTGTGAGTTCCTGTTGGTGCTTTGCATTTAGATACTGTCTCCCTGGGGGGATCTTTCTCCCCATTACCACCTCTCCTTGAACCCCTCCCTGCTGCAAGCCTTGTTCATTCGCTCCTTTCCTGGTTTTTAATTTTTCTTTCATACCCTCTCCTTCCCCTGATGGTACACCACTGGCCCACGTCCCGTTCCTCTCTCCCTTGCAACTCCTGTTGCCGCTGCTGCTTCCTCCTCCTCTGACTTCAGGATGGGGCCTTCTTTATGGAGTTTGTCCGCAGCCCACGCACAGCATCATCTGCCTTCTACCCACAGGTCAGTCAAACTCTAGGGCTCTGCAGCCTGTGCATGCCTGTCCTTTCAGCAGAAGCCACGGCCAGCCTTCTGCTTGACTCTGAACAGATGGAATTGGAATGAAACTGAGTTTGAGGGGTACTTGCACTTGAATTTGGCCTCAGAGTGTACATTCACATCCCTGGTGTTTGTGGCCACAAAGGGGATGGAAATGAGCGAACTGAGAGAACAAATACAGGAGCATCTGTGCCCCACCTCGGCCCGCCTGCTTCACATAGTCACCGCAGATTTTTTTTTGGCCTTATTGTGCCCTCCTTTTTAGGCATTTTCAGCCATATGATAATGAGCAACATGAAATGTGCCTTCTTATGTATTGAAAACTTTTGCCCCCTCTTAATCCAACCAGATAAACTTAAACGGTGTGTCAGGAAATGGTAAGAAATGAACAGGCACATGCTTGGTCAGAGGCTCATCATTGTGCCCCGAGATGAGTTACCTTGCCCCTGGGCTTCCCTGAACTCATTTGTCCAATAAAGGGTTTCAACTGGATCTCCAAGAGATGTCCAAGCTTTACCTTTTTTCAGTTACTAAGTGCTGAGCACTAGTATTACCTCATTTCATCCTCATAGTGTAGCATATGAATTAGGGAGACATTTTATCTCAGCTTTATAAATGGAGAAATCGAGGGCCTAAGAAGTTGTGCTTTACACCGTTGGGATTTAAATTCCAGACCAACAGGCTTGACTTGTGATCCCCTGCTCTGTAATTGGCACTACCAATTACTGTGAGCAGGCCTCACAGGTTCTAGGTGAAGAGAAACTGGGCTCCTTTTCCCTTGGAGAGGTCCCTAAGTATATGAAATAGACTTCGTTGAGAGGGTGTAGGCAGAGTGGGGCAGTCTGTAAGGAGGCCTGGGAGGTTTAAGGGCAAAGGTTATGTAATAAAGTCAGAAACCAACATGGATTGAGTGTTCATTCTCTGCTGAATATGAGGAAACTGAGGCCTGAAGTCATTATTTAGTCAAAGGACACACAACCAGCAAGAAGCTGAGCTCCTGCTCTTCAGAGGGAAAAGGCTAGTTAACACTGGGGCCGTCCCTTTCTTAGGAGGCCAGCGGAGGCCTTACTGGCCTGTAAGGTCTTCAGATGGCTGTGCCTGCCTCACTTCTGTGAGCTGCATGATCTGGCAAATCCCTCAGGGTCTGAGTGCAAGTCCAGCAGTCTCCAGTGTCAGTGTGGGGTGCACACTGTTGTGGCTCAATCTTTTACTTTCCAATGTTTTGTGTCACAATTTTGTACTTACAGTAGAACATAACAGAAAAAAATTAGCAAAAAGGAATTGTTTTATAAATATTGTAATATTCATACAACTTAATATGGTGGAGTTTGTGGGTAGAACAAAAGAGGGCAAGTTGCCACCGTTGAAACTGGCGCTCAGAGAAGAGAAGCTGGAGGAGGCACATGAGGTTAAAACTCCACCAGCTGTGCATTTAAAAAAAATACATAAAAAAATTATCTCAACTCATTGAGTGCTGTAACGGAGTGCTAAATACTTACACATAATTAAATTGTACTTTGTTTTTTTATACTTCCTTTTGTTTATTTGTTTTAGTATTTATTTTGGAAAATGGCGCACAACCTCAGATTTGCTTGTTTGTGTCCTGATACTCAGCATGGAGACTGGAGAGAGGCCATCGGAGCCTGACAATTCCTTTCTGGTCTTGGCTTCAACACTGTATCGCTTGGCTTTTGGCTCATTAATTGACCTCCGATCATCAGTCTTCTCATTTGTAAAAGGAAATAAAAATAACTTCCTTACAGATTTGTTTTGAGGATTAGAAATAGTACACATTTTTTGATCGATTTCACAGGAATGAAATCACACAGAACATGCATGTAATTAAGTTACCTGTCAATGACACAAAGATAATGGGAGGAAAAGCCACACATATTTGTAAATTTAAATGTAACACACTAGTAGTGAGGCATGAGACAGGAATAATACATGTGAAGCAACTGGTGCTTGGTTGTGAAGGGCACAGTCAATGAATATGTAGCTGCCGGAGGCTCAAGGTGCCCGGTTTTAATGTCACATTTGCACATCTGTTTACTGGTGCCTATTCTCTATTCCTGCTGCCTCTGCTCTCCATCCTAATGCCAGAACCCAAAAGTAGAGTGTGGTGAGCGCTTTAGGAGAAAGGGCCTGCCCATCACCAGGCTGCCAGAATTGCTGTGGCGTCAGGCTGCCCACCATGCCACAACTGGTTGTGAAATTTTTGGCAACAGCACTAAACTTTCTAAAGCTCAAGTTTTCTCATCAGTAGAATGGGACAGCTAACCATGTTCTCCTTACAGAGTAGTTGTGAGAGCAGGCTGAGATGACGCATCTTTGTGGTTAGTTCAGATCCTGGCACATAGTAAATTCTCCAGACGTGTCTGAGTGGGGAGGAGAGGAGGAGGTGTGCAGGGTGGGGCTGGGTACATCTAGTGGAGGGGCTTGATTGGCCTAACCACCTCTTTCCTCATGGGTATATGTGTGTAAAAATGGGGACTTCTACCCTTTTAGCTCTGAAATTCTGGGATGACCCTGAGTCCTTTATCTCAGGCTGAGTCATAAAGGTGTTATGTATCTATATTGCCCCTTATAACAAAACAGTTCTCTACTGAGAAGGGGTTCCTGTTGGCCAAGAGGGGTGGGCATCACTCCAGACTCTGGTTTTGCTTAGAGGAGGACGTCCCTGTAGAATTGAAACATAGCAGTGTGCAGAGGTAGCAGGACTATTCATCCTTCCCGGCAAATGGTTCTGTGTGCCGCCAGTTCATCATTCTAATGATAATGAATGTGTCTCTCTCTCTGATAACAGAATAGTTCCACAGTTTCCTCACCTTATTCTGCTCTCTGAAATCTATTTTAGTCTTCATAAAGTTCCACAGGAACTTGGAGGCATGAGAAGTACTTGGCAATGGGATTTTCCTCAGAAGTCAGCCTGATATCTTTTGTCTGTAGTTTAGAACCTGAGGAACATACTGAAGGAGACAGGGCCCTGCCATGTGAGACCTGAGCTAGCTGCTGTCCAGTGAGCCCCAAATTACTATCAAAAGGACATGTGGGCCCTCCCTGGTGGTACAGTGGGTTAAATTAGCACAGCACTAAAAAGCTTAAGCCACTTCCGCATGAGTTTGATCCCCACCTGCCCCGGAGGTGATCACATGGCATGGCAGACCTCTCCTGACCCGCCCACTGCTCCCCTCAGCAGTGTACTTC